AGGCTTACTTGTCCCTAAAGTCTCTAAAAGTAGAGTAGGAGCCAGAGCTGTAAGCTGTCAAGCTCCTCTCCTGTTGGATCATCTCCCAGTTTCAGTTCAGGAGGCAGACACCCTCTCTACGTTTAAGAGTAGGCTTAAACCTTCCTTTAAGATAAAGCTTATAGTTAGAGCTGGTCCAGGCTTGTCTTAGACCTGCTTAATTATGCTGATATAGGTCTAGAATGTCAGGGGACATATAACACATGGAGCTTCTCTTTCCTCTTCTACCTCCTTATCACATCAAATAAATTATTGTCTCATCAATTCATGTTACTGACTTGACTTCTTCCCCGGAGTCCCTGTGCTCTATCGTTTGCAGATCCACATCGGGGAATATGATGATGGATCGCAAATCAGAGATCATGATCATAATGGTGGATCCTGTATCATGCGGTGGCAGCTGATGGTATATCCTGATCGTGGTGGCTACTGATCGTGGACTATGATTACAACAAGACTGCTTGACATACAATATGTCTACTCAGATACTCTACCATTACTGACAATAACTCCTCAATTCATTTACCTTCCACTGTGTTACAAACTGTTTACTCTAACCAATGCTGTAAGTACTCTTATTTCTCTGACGTTCTCCATTACACATGGCATCTCTTGTACTTTTGTCCGTCCTGGGAAAGGGATCTCTCACATGTGGCTCTCTCTGAGGTTTCTACATTCTTTTTTCCCTGTTAAAAGGGTTTTTGGTGGTTTTTTCTTACTCTTGTTGAGGGTTAAGGACAGAGGATGTCACACCTTGTTAAAACCCTATGAGACAAATTGTGATTTGTAAATATGGGCTATACAAATAAAATTTGATTGATTGATTTTGTAACATGCTGCTGTCCGCATACTCAGATAAATAATTACTAAAAAGTTAGCTGAAGAGTTTCTCACCCATTTCTCTCCGCCCAATCCAACCAATCAAGACAGACTGCCTCAATTGGCTCCCCTACTCACCAACCCACTCTGAGTCTGGTTCTGTAGGAGCTTCCTTCAAGTTAAAATGGAGTTGTTGTTTTATTTAAATCAGAATGTGAAGGGTTTGATCCTCTGCTCCTTTTGTCTACATTTTGAAGTGTCAAGACAATGGACACAAAATTGACACAAGTGTAAAAATGAGGGACAGAGAAGCACAAGGCTATATAGGCTATATGGCTCCCGGTAAAATTTAGAATAGAATTCAAGATCCTGCTCCTCACTTTTAAAGCCCTCAACAATCACGCCCCCTCATATATCAAAGAGCTGATAACACCTTATTATCCAAGTAGATCACTTCGTTCCCAAAACACAGGCTCTCTAGTGGTTCCAAGAGTCTGTAAGAGTAGAGCAGGAGGTAGAACATTTAGCTATCAGGCTCCTCTCCTATGGAACCAGCTCCCACTCTGGGTTCGGGAGGCAGACACTGTCCCAGCATTTAAAGTAAAACTAAAAACCTTCCTCTTTGACAAAGTCTATAGTTAGGGCTGGATCAGGTGAGTCCTGAACCATCCCTTAGTTGTGCTGCTATAGGTTTAGACTGCTGGGGGAACTCCCATCATGCACTGAGCACTTCTTCACTTCCCTCTGTCTCTCTGTCTCTCTGCCCCCCCACACCTCTTTATTTATTTATTTATTTATTTATTAGTTTTAACATGTCATCATGTCAAAGTGTCACTTTGTCCTCCCATAGTCCCTCTGGCTCTTCTCTCTATCTCGTTTCAGATAACTCCGGCACCGGGACTACAGGACCACAACGACCACCATCCCCATTGTCTTCATTTATTACAAGAACTTAGCAATTTATTAATATATCTAGTCATGTTGTAGATCTATACTTTGTTATTGTTATGGTTAGCCTTGATTTTGATGGTGCCAAATTGTTACCAGTCTCTCCCTCTCCACCTCATCTCTCTCTTCTCTCCCCCTCTCTCCACCCATCTCTCCTTTCCTCCCCCCTTACTTTTCTTTCCTCACCCCAACCGGTCGAGGCAGATGACCGCCCACATTGAGCCTGGTTCTGCCAGAGGTTTCTCCCTGTTAATGAGGGAGTTTTTCCTCTCCACAGTCGCCTGTGCTTGCTCATTGTGGGAACTGTTGGGTTTCTCTATGTTAATATTGTTTTAAGGTCTTGACCTTTAAATGTAAAGTGCCTTGAGATAATGTAAATTATGAATTGGCGCTATATAAATAAAATTGAATTGAATTGAATTGAATATATAGATGCACCGGATGAATGTTTGTGGACAGGATGGGACTTACAACAAAGGTGTCATAGGAGAACTTGTGTCTGTGGAGGAGATGCTGGAGGAAGTTGGAGCTCTTATAGCTGGGGTCTCCCCACGGCATGGCTGAACACACCGGACACACCTGTAGATACAAACAGAGCTTAGCTTAATTAATGTCAAAATTCTGGGTCAAAACCTCATGTGCAACTGTATTAGACAGTGAACTAAACATAACACATCTATTTGTTTGTTGGGTGTTTTTTTTGTTTGTTTGAAAGCAAGATTACACAAAACCAAATGAATGGATTTCCTGTAAACTTGATGGAAGGATGTGGTATGGGTAAGGAAAACCTTTGCTGCAGATTCAGTTGAGGGGGTGGATTGCTTACATAATCAGAAAGGGTGGTTTTTTTCAACATTTTCCCACGGAATACTGCTTGGATCTTGATGACTGCTCAAAAAATGCAGGGACCATTTAAATCACACATCAGATCTTGATAAACGAATGATTCAGGTTGAACATTTTTACTGATGTACATTCTATAATTTGTTGAGAACAAATGGTCAATGGAAACCAAAATCGTTAACCCATTGAGACCTGGATTCAAAATCATAGTGAAAATCAAAGGCAAAAACTGAACTCACAGGGTGATCCATCTTGCGTGACTTTTATCACAGCAACTCATAATGTTTTTCAGCAGTGTGTATGGCACCCACGTGCCTGTATGCACACCCGACAACGTCTGAGCATGCTTATGATGAGTTGGCGGGTGGTGTCCTGGGGGATCTCCTCCCAGAACTGGATCAGGGCATCAGTGAGCTGTACTTGGAGGCGTCGGATGCACCGATACATAATGTCCCATAGGTGCACAATTGGATTTAGGTCAGGAGAACGAGAGGGCCAGTCAATGGCATCAATGCCTCCATCATCTATGAACTGCCTACACACTCTGGCCACATAAGGCTGGGCATTGTCCTACACCAGGAGAAAACCAGGGCCCACTGCACCAGCGTAAACTATGGCAATCTCTGAGGATTTCATCCTGGTACCTAACAGCAGTCAGGGTAGTGTTGGCTATGACATGGATGTCTGTGCGACCCTCCTGCCTCCTCAGACCGTCCCCCACCACCAAACTGGTCATGCTGGATGATGTTACAGGCAGTGTAACATTCACCACAGCTTCTCAAGACTCTTTCACACCTGTCACATGTGCTCAGTGTGAACCTTCTCTTATCTGTCAAGAGACCTGCCACTTCTGGTGTTCTCTGGCAAATGTCAGTCAAGCTGCATGGTGCTGGGCTGTGAGCACAGGTCCCACTAGAAGAGGTCGGCCCCTCATGGGGTCTGTTTCTGACAGTTTGGTCAGAAACATGCACACCTGTAGCCTGCTGGAGGTCATTATTTAAGGCTCTGGCAGTGCTCCTCCTTTTCCTCCTCACACAAAGGAGCAGATACTGGTCCTGCTGCTGAGTTAATGTCCTTCTACAGTCCTGTCCAGTACTCCTTGTGTAACGGCCAGTCTCCTGGTATCTCCTCCATGCCGTTGAGACTGTGCTGGGAGTCAAAGTAAACCTATGTTGTATCTTAATGTTTTTCCGTTGTGTGTGTTTTGTTCATATCCTTTATGTTTCTTGAACTGCAGACATGTGACTGCACATATGTGCCATTCTGGAGGAGCTGGACTACCTGTGCAACCTGATCGGGCTACAGATGCTGCCTCACGCTACCAATAGTGACAAGAACAGTGGCATGACAAAAAACTACAGAAGACTTAGTCAGGAAGGATAAGGAGAGAGCAGCTGTCAGTGGCCGCCACATGCAAAACCATTCCCTTATTGAGGGTTGCCTAACTTTTGCTTCTCCATTGCACTTGTTGTCACTTTTAATTTGCACCAGAGTAGGTGAAACTTTTTCATTATTACTTGTGCTTCTTAAATGGACAGATTGATATCCCTGAAATTTAACTGGATTGCTCATATACTGTGATGATTAAGTGTTCCCTTAATTCCCTTAACCCCTTAAGCAGTGTACATGGGCACAGATAGGGAAATAATATATATGAGTGTGTGAAATGTGGTGCGGCTTGATTTAATTTGAGGAGCTATGGCCTTGGGTAGAGGTATATGCTCCACTGAGTGTCATTATAGTTTGGTTCTGTTCCTCAAGGATCCAAATCTGGGTTTTTAAAGTAGAAGTAGCATCTGTCTTTCTTTCAGTCATAGTGTACATTCATAAATACACCACCTTTTACCCTAGGTATGCAAGTGTGTGAGCACTTGTGTAAGGTGTGTTTCCATTGGGTTGATCTGTCTAATACTGGACCCAGTTCAGCTCATGGATCCAAGATCACAGCTCTGGGGAACCTAAATTGGCTGATGAGCCAGTCATCATTATGGTCCAGAAAATCTTCATGTTCACTTCTATTCGGATAGGCCTCTATTGGTTCCAGTGCATCCATCATGCAGCATTACACAAGTGTCACCGTATTTACTTTAAAAGAAATCAGATTGATTGATTCACACCATGCGAAATGGTTCTTGACAATTAGTGGCTTCAGCCAAGGACACTTCAGATAAGGACCCACCTAAATTACTCCAGATATACTATATGAGTGAGAAGTCTCTTACCACTTTATTAGGGTCATTACGGTGGTTGTCCATACAGTGCTTCACCAGTTCCTGCTGATCCAGGTTTCTGGCCCCACAGAATGGACACACAAATGTTGATCGATTTGGAATATTGCTACATAAGAGAAGAGAGAATTATGACTCATACTGTACACTTTGGACACATGTATATGTGAGAATATGAAATGTTTTATCATCTATAATGGGTTTATATCATTGCTCTACACAGAGTAGTTACAGCCTGTGTGCACTGCGTGTGGTATGTACTGTAGGTTTATAACAATAGCATGAGATTTTCTGTCAAGATCAGATAAAAGATAAAGGAGGATGTTACAGCACCCCTTATGGCTGGGACTCAAAGAAGCTGTAGTTTGTGTTGTTTTTTGCAGTGTACCTTGGTATAGGCTGGGAAGTGGGTACCACGGGGACAAACTTGGGACAATTGGCTATCTGCTCCTGTACTTTGGGACAGGAAGCAATATGGGACCTCATCTTTACCAGAGCCACCTGAGAACAGTTATGACTGTTTATCAATAACAATTATTGAAAATTATTTAAAAAATTAAACAGTTAGCAGTTTTTAGCAGGATCTTTGTTTCCAGCACTCTGAATTTTACTAGTGTTCATAAAAAGTGTATAAAAAGATTCCTTTCTCTCACTAAAAATAAACAACAAAACAGCAAAACAAACATGCTTTCAGACATACAGTAAACTGCACAGATCCCCCGTATTTTCTCTGGAGGAGGTGCATGTGTTGGCAATTTTAAGGTGAGACGTGGAGCAGTCAGACGTTGATGTGACGAGCAGGGGATCTCGAGCAAGGGGGGGTTGATGACATTTCTAACATGCAACAGATGCAAATATGAATAAAACTAATATGTAAATATCACGTGATTGCTGCAGCAGATAAAAGGCTGGATAAAAGTGAGGGGGTATTTGAGTCCACAAAACATTTTTTGAGTTTCAGGGGTAAACAGCGTTGCAGATATTTCACAGACCCCTCCAATGGCATAGTGGTGAGTAGATAATGAGGGAATTTTCAATTTTTGGTGAACTATCCCTCGAGCCTCTGTCTGCTGCACCAGCTGCACCGGCTGTTCCACCTCTCGCCTGAATAATGGAGGATTTGTTGCTGTCATGAACACGTGATTGCAGAGAACCTCCCTCTGTGTTGTGCATGTGTGAAAGGCATATTCCAGGTCAAGTGAGGACCCAATTCTCTTAAACATTATAGACAGCACCATTTTGTTTTACTGTATATAATGGAAAAATAAAATGTTGTTTCTTCTTGTACCTTCTAATATTTTCTAGCAAAGTCAGTTACAAAATGATGATTTACTTATAGGTAAGTAATTAATCATCTACCTTCTTGTTACAACCCCTGCAGGGTGCTTTGTATGAGGCCAGCTTTTTCTCCACACTGGAGGAGCGCTCCACTTTCTTGGGGTCAAAGGGCACACGACACAGAGGGCAGAGGGGCGAGGTCACCTGAAGACATGGCTGCAGACACTCCCCACAAAAACTGGAAGGGCAGACAACAGACAGCAGGGGAAGAAATGTAAATTGTTGTTGGATAGATGGAAATCTGAGACGCCCTCCCCAAAACTTTTCTGATAGGGGGGGGGTCGCTCTAAATAGCTTTAACCCGACAGACGCCTGAATAACTTATTACTTGAATCACTAATTTTAGTAAATGTTACAATATTATATATAATATATAAGTTATCACAAATTCCATCAAAAGTTACCAGTAGCCCAGTCATGGTTTCGTTTCACCACATTAGCAGCAGAGGAGAAGAAATAGAAGTAGTGTTTTTTTTCTTTTTGCTGTCTTCAATTACAGAAAGTCACCATTGACTTGATTGTAAATGGATGACCTTGATCTTAAGTTGCCCATTTCCTCCACAGCAAGCCCTAATTCAGAGAAAAAACATATTCCACTTTCTAACTCTAACCCTAACTGTAACCCTCTGGAACAGATGTTTTTGTTATTTTGGTATTGTAGCCTGTTGTCTGTCATAGGAACCCACAGAGTTTTGATCTGTGTACTGACTGTCAGCTTGTTTTCTGGACACTTTTGCAGAATTGTGCCCTTGGTTTGACTGGGAGACCTGTGGAGGGCCACACAGACAGACTACCTCCTCAATACATGATGTCATGATCCATGAGTACCTTCTCACTATTGGTATAAACACCAGGAGAAGGATGGAGCCCAGGTCTCCATGGATGTGGGTGGCATCTTTACCTCAGCACTCCATGAAATCTGTGTCTGACTAAATGTTTGTCTCATACCCAGTACATGACAAACAGTTTGGACAATTTTTTAGTATTTTGAATGATCAGCAATAGAAATAATTAAATAATTCACCATATTACAGTATATATGTATATATTTGTTTTCTTGTGCTTATTAAATAAAATATGACAATTAACTCTGCTCCCTAAATACAGGTTCACTCTCTCATTGTCATTAGCATGCTGCCCCACTCCAACTGATTGCTACAGAGCGTTGGTCACCTGTTTGTTTATTTATCTTATTTTGTATTAATATTGAATGTATTGCCTGTCCAAACCAGACCATATTTGACACTGCATTTCCCTACACCCTAAAGAATATACATGGTTTGCGAGATATGCATTCCACATACAGACAGACAAATAGAAAGACATTTGTGGAATCAGTAGGTAAATAAATATGAAGTTTACATTGATTAAGTCACCATGTATGTTTTTGTATTTTATTATTAACTATTGTTTTCTGAACAATCCAAACATTATGAAGGACTGACATTACTTTTTTACCTTTACACTGGCACCATTTTTTATACAGAATGCTGTCACGAGTTTCCCCTTTAAAATTCAGTTCATAAAAGCTGCAGTACATGATACTTGTTGAGAGCTCGAGCTAAAAGATAATGTACAAGAAATCCACAGGTAAATCTGACTTCAGACATGCCAGGTAATGTGTAAAAGCTAAGGGCATATCTGTAAAATAAATTAATTTTGAAAGTTAAGATTATAACTGCGCATTAACACAAAATGATTGATGTGGAAGTATAAATCTACTCGTACACTGTTAGACATCGTTTCTAAATGACACCAGATAGTCTATAGTACTGTTAATCTGATTTAATTCAATTATTATATTATGATTGAATCATTAATGTTACATGTTAGATGTCACAGAACATCTGGATACAGGAGCCTCCTGTTGCTTTAGAAAAGTTCCTATGTGTTTCCAACCAGAGGATAGAGGTGAGTGAAGTAGTGAGCAGGAGTCACAGCTGTATGACAGTATCAGTGCTACACGTTCTATAGCAAAACAACACACAGCACATCATAGACCCTGATGAAAGGACAACCCACTGCATGTGCGCACACAGTAACACACACAAACAAGTAGCTACTTTACGTGTGAGCACAGCTGGCGATGCTGACGGGTTTATGGTAGACCTCCAGGCAAATGGGACATGAGAACTGGCTCTCGATGCCCTCAGTCGGGGATGCCGGTGAGCAGGAGCCACTGTTGGGCTGCTGTTGCTGCTGCTGCTGGCGGAGCTGGGAGCTCGCTGAGACAAAGCTCCGAAACATCGCCATCATGGAGCCGGAGAGGATCCGCAGCTGTCGATAACAGCTCTCTTCCCGAGAGAAGAAGCTCTCCAACTGTTCAAACTGCAGGTTGCTAGTGCATTCTTCGCATTTTCATTATTTGTCGAACAAACATGATGGCTACTCAGTGCAGTCACTATTAAACCATCTTCACCACAACAAAGCGTTAGAGTACTCTCCCTCGGAAGACATGCTGGAGAAGTAAACATTGGGCGCGGGCTTGTTGATGAGTGTCAGCTTGGTGCTACGACGGTGACCTGGATAAAATCCCCGATTTATAAACTCGTGCAGAGCATGTGAGGCCACATCCACTTGGTTGTCAGATTAGCGTTTATGAAAACTCCAGTTAACATTTGCGAATAGCACGAGAGGCTACAACAAAATCCCCATGCGCTGAGCTTTATGGGCATTGTAGTCCCAATACGCATGAGCAATCTGCCTTGAACTACAATTCCAGAGTCCACTTCTCAGCTGTTCCAGCACACAGGGATATGAAGAAGCAGATAAACTGGCAAAAGCAGCAGTCACAAAATGAACGGTGGAGGTCAACACAAAATTATCAAAATCAGGGATAAACAGCAGAGTGTGGAGGAAAGCAATTCAACAGTGGCAAAGACACTGGGATAGGGCAACTAAAGGAAGAGACTAACCTTCACTCCGGAATAGAGTGAATGTGTAGTGTAGGGGCACAAGATGGAAAGAACAGAGTATTGGGCATAGTAGCCTTAACACTACACCTCTCATATGATAGGAAAACATCTGACGGGTATTTGCGACCAATATCAAGAACCAGAAACAATAGAACCCATCCTTACATCATGGAAATCTACAAGAGCTAGGAAAGAACTGATGCAACAACTATGCAAAACAGGACCAATAGAGAACACTGTTAATAGCATATTAGAGTGGAGAGTGTCTGCAAGGGAGGAAACTGTTATTTAGATTTTAAAGGAGACTGGACTGGACAGATGACTTTAAAATAAATGGAAACTGAGTAAGAATTATAAATTGAAAGGGTATCGAAGCACTTTGGATGCCAGCTGCCGTAAAACCTCATAGAAGTAGAAGAAGAACACAGGCAGAATTCCGGAGTTTCGCATTATCAACATTTTAATTATGTCTTGATAACAAATTAAAGCCCATTACTCGAACGCAAGATGAAAAAACTTTGCCATTCATGTAGAACACATGTATGGCACATTTTATTCTGCCTCTGTCTGCTGCACCAACCCTCACCAGAACAGATTTCTGTGTTGTTGTGAATGCGTCTGAGCAGAGAATATCCTGCTGCACTGTGCATGTGTGAAAGGCAAACTCCAGAGAAACTCTGGACCCAATTCTCCAAATGTCCACCGGAGGTCTTGTCTAAAAAGGCTAGACTGATAAGGGATAATACATTTAGAAAAACTAATATTAAAATGATCTCACAGTGATTTTGACCCAGTTGTTGGCCACTGCAGTAGTTTATCTGAGTATGTAAAAGAAGCCATGTTCAATACGGTCTGTGAGTGTTAGCACACTGCCTCACATGTTTGTGGCATTGTCGTTAAACAGATGACCGTGATGCTGAATGCACTGGAGGCGGAGGCTCAGCTGGCACAACTGGTGGAACATCCAGGTCCTGGTTTTGGATTTGATTTCTGTTTTTAGACTCTCCAGACGATAAATGTAAAAACATACCCGGTTACGACGGCCCATTAAAGGTTGGGCTGGTGAATCTTTCCATCTTTTGTTTCATGCCTATGACTGATGTCTATGATTTAAAATTGTTTCGGATTAGGTGAATCATGTATCCTTAATAAGCAGTTAACCAACTACATTGATTTGACAATATGTTTTGTGTAAACTAAATGACCTGTGCTCTTTGACCAGATATATAACTGTTAGCTAAGCTTAACCAATCAGCTTGACCTAACTCGTTTTGACCAAACTGTGGTCACAGAACAAAGACATACAAGGACGCACACACCAAGGTCAGCACTCGCAGTTATATTTTTTATCAACATATTGTTTGTGTGCAGAGGACGAGAGAATGTAACAGAAATGGAGTCCATCTGGAGGATGAGACTTGGCCACAGTGGTCTGAATAGTACATACAAATAATGAACAAACATGCTGAACATGCTACAGACAGAGGAGTTATTCAAGTCACAAGAAACAGTGGAGCATGAAGTTGTAGGGTACAGGCATAGACTGTAAATAAAGGGTACAGGGCAATTTTCTGATTTTTAGTTAACGCCGGAATATCTGATGTATACTCCAATCCAGAAGGTGGCAATGTACTTAAAAGCTGTTTACCAACCGCCGTCAAACAGAAGGAGAAGAAGAATTAAAAAGTAGAAGAAGAAATGTTTTAACTTACGTCATCAACAAGTGCCGCGTCTCAAACACATGACGTTCGCTGTTGTCAACCAAAAGTCAATGTAGTGTAATAACCAAAACCTTTTAAAACGACTATTTCCGTGTGCGAGCAGCAGATCACGTGCTTCACAATGTGCCAGGTGGATGAAGACTATCTTTGCGAGCTGGACCGCGCGGAGGTGCCCAGGTAGGAACCACGTCAAGAGACCACTGATCCTCTGTGCTGCCGCCATGTGTCCTGTTTACGTGTGGGTAACAGCGGGTGGTCTGTATTTATACTGCACTTTTCTCGAACCACTCGAAGCGCTTTGGAGCACAGTTTGACCATTCTCACGTTCATACAGTGCTCACTCACTCACTGACGCTGCTCCAGTACAATGACAACAAATTACTTGCTGATTACAAATAAATCGCACTTGCATTACAATAACTACTAAATATAAATGTAGCCAAAAGCAAACTAACTGTGGAGCGTTTGGACTTTTTCTACTCTCAGATGACTCAGCCCTGCGCATCAAGAACATCCACCTTCATATAAAATAAAAGCAATGAGTGGAGGATACATCCAATAAAAAACATGTTCGCTTACTTTAGTCCTAAAAACACAGAATCGGCATCTACCTTGTTGAAGGGGGTGATGTTTTCACATGACTAGTCATATTACTGGTGTGTGCTGTGCATTGTTATGATCACTATGTATACTCTCAAGTGTAAACAAAAGCAATTTCCCTTGAGCTGGCCATGTGTGTATTACTCATAACACCCTGGGTCTCCTATCAAATATAATCATCTGTCTTTGAAGCTTGCTATTAAGTATGCATCGTCTACCTGTATGACAAAATAAAAACGTTTCATGAAAATGACGAATCTGCTAAAAGCATCTGGAACACAGATACAGAAAAATATTATTAATTAACCTGATCACCAGTTAAGCTGGAACACCGGGCCACCCGTCATTCAGAGTCTTGTGGAATGTAGGAGCCAGGGATCGAACCACCAACCTTTTGGTTAGTGGCCCACATACTCTAGTCCACATCATGAGCTGTCTATCATGGTGGAAGGTCAAGTGGATCCATGGACTGTCATGGCAGGCAAAGTGGGCGATTGCTCCATGAATCAAGACAGCAAAGAGACAGTTAACTGACTGCCAGAACATGTGGAACAGGTGGTGGTACTTTAACTCTGCGACTCAGATTAGTCTTGTAAAAGAAACCTGGAGACAATAGAGGCTCAATACATTTTCATGTTTGTTTACAAATGTCATCACATACATATCATAACATATGAATGCAAGATTAAGATGTTCATTTTTCCTCCATTTATTCAGTGTTTTCAAGAAATGTGTTAAATGCAAAGAGGCGAGTGCAGCTGTTGTCATCAGAGCAGGAGATACCTACTGCAGGTAAGGCATCCAGCACTCTGCACTGTTCACCTGCACATGTAAAGCGTCCTTCGGTCTCTTTAAAGGCAAAATAGAAATTCAAGTTATTATTATCATTATTAATAAGGAGAGAGCAATTGTCTGTGGCCACCACATGCAAAACCATTCCCTTTTTGGGGGGTTGTCTCACTTCTGCATCTCGCACCTGTTGTCACTTTCATTTCCATCAAAGCAGATGAAATTGATTCAAAATCACTTGTGCTTCCTAAATGGACAGATTGATATCCCTGAAGTTAACTGACTTGGCGTTATACTCTCAGTGTATGAGTTTGATTTCTTCATAGAGCTCAATGATCATCGGTTCAGGATTAGTTTAGCTACTTTGATATAATACCCCCCAGGTCTGAACTTGGGTTCAAAATTATAACAGAAGGCAGATTAGGAATAACAGGCTGTATCAAATACAACATGTTTCACTAAAGTTGAGGTTGTTTGAGAATTTACAGTTCTTTAGTCATGACTAGTCAATAGTTTGAATCTGCCCCTAACTTACATAGTAAGTTGTTTTCAGACACGTCCTGCAGAGGATCTCCACAGAATATGGTCCGGACTTTCTCCACAGTTTGCCTTTTACACATACACAATGCAAATGCGCTGCTCAGATGCATTCACAACAGCAACAAATCCTCAGAATTCATCTGAGGGGTGGTGCAGCGCACACACACACATCTCCTCCGGAGAAAATGAGAAGCATCTCTGGAGTTCAGTGCAGGTCTGCAAGCAGCTATAGTAATACCAGTGTTAACACAAGAACAATGTTGCATGAGGGTGTGTGGGAAGACTGGTTTGAACTCGGGGATTGCTAGAATTTTTCCAGCTGTGTTGTTGGAGCTGGGGGGTTGCTGAAAGAGATTATTTTACAACATTTACATGGCTTTTCAAGATGTTACTGTGTTTAACTGACTTTGCTCAAATCATTTCTCTGTCTGTGTTAGGGGCTGTTTCAAGGAATACTTCATTCACAAGTTTAGGGCCATGCTGGGCAAAAATAGGATAATTTTCCCTGGAGACAAGGTAAGCAAAGAAGAAACTCCACTGAGCTTCACTTAGAAATTTACATTTACATTGCTTTGTATGGTAAGGCTGACAGGGACTTTGTGGTCCATATACTTGAATGGCCACAAAGGTTGCCATGCAACTTAAAAATTAAATGGTAAGGCCATAGCTTCATCAACATGTACATCCTAGTTGTCATTGGATGGCCACAGGAGGACACATATGCCACTGATGTCATAAAACCCTGAGACTCCAAAAGCAAATAAAAGAGAGGGGGTGAGGATTAGTGAGTGTCAGAGCCATGATCCAAGATGAAACGAGGAGCATCCATGAATACATCAGGAAGATGCCCCCCCCAGAATGATTTGCTCAGAAAGTGCCACAGGCTGCAGAATATGGAGGATGAGGAGGCAGAGAAAATATCATGGAAGACGTGGTGGTTGACAAAGAGCAGAAGAGGGCAGTCATGATAGAGGTAGCGATCCTGGCTGGGTGTTAAACAATAATGATAATTATCTCAAAATAACTTTTCCTCAATAGGAATATAAAACATGGTAGATACGTCGACAGAACTCATTCCATCC